GGCTCTAATTAATCAAAGTAGAATATCAGTATCTTACACAATCTAGATTTTATTGACAAGCGATTTTTCAGAATATATTACTTTTGAAAACTGCTAAACCCATATCCACGAATATTGCGAGTTGAAACGTCATAGAGCTGCCCCTTCCATTGAGGATGGTGTGACATTCGTCATTTAGATCTCGCAGACTGTTAATTGGGAAATTTTATATTAAAAAAATATTAAAAAAACATATAATTAAGTTAAATATAAAAAGAATTATTTTTTATTAATAATTAATTTTATATTAGATTTAAATTTTGTATTAAAATTTATATGTTCAATTTTAATATAACATCAAAGTTTAAATTTTGTTTTTGACAAATTTTTTGTAACAATTTAGGATTATACAAGGAAAAGACATTAAGTTTATTTAATTATTTATTAGCCCAAGATTTACGAAATAGATCAAATTACTTACCCATAAAAAGAAATTTAAGTCTATAATTTGAAATTTAGGTGACAAAACTTAAAATTTATATAAATATGCACTTAATAAAGGTGTTGTTTTAAGTTTAATACAAGCTATGTTGTTAGTCAAATTTTCCCACGGATTGATGTTTGAGAGGTATCCGAGAAAGCCAAAAACCCCTAGCTAATTAGTAGCAATCATAATCTAATCTCATCATGTAATCACTTTTTCCAAGCATGCAACATCATGATTGATGGAGTCAAGTCAGTGCATACATAACTCGTGTGCATGTTGGTGTTGTATCTCCAACTGAGGTTATTTTGATGCATTATCACTATTGTGTGTGTGTGTGTAACTGTGTGTATATATATATATATATATATGTATACCCCAGTTAGGTATGTATGCTGATGACCCATGATACACCAGTTTTGTTCATGAAGATAACCCACGTGGCCCAAAACGGTTGATGGATGCAGGCTATATATATATATATATATGTATACCCCAGTTAGGTATGTATGCTGATGACCCATGATACACCAGTTTTGTTCATGAAGATAACCCACGTGGCCCAAAACGGTTGATGGATGCAGGCCCCCACTTAATCAATCATGGTCATGATTACTTCCAGAAACTGAACCAATCACGGCCGTTCAATGATTTTGCTTAGAAATTCGAACGGATGAATCATTACAGACCTAAATTCAAGTTTTAAAACCCTACTCCAAAAATGAATTTCAATTTAAATTAATAGGGTCACAAGGAGTATGGATCTATCTATACCAACTCATTGTACAAGTAACATCAATAGACAACCTGTTAAATTGGCATCGTTGCAAGCAGCGAGGAGAATTTTAAATGAATGTAAGGTTTAAACCTTTTTATTATCATTTAAGTATATATTAATCGAAATTCATTACATTAATCTTGTAAAATATTCAAGTAACCATGTATATATATATATAAGGCAACCCAGCTGAGTAGCTGCAGGCGACTATTTAAATACTCGACCCATATTGGATGATCGGATCCCAACATTACTAGCCAAGGAAAAAGCACACCTCGAGGGAGCATTATTCCACTTGGGACTGTTAGGTGATGAAGATTTTTGGGGAAAGCAGAAATTTTGATTTCTTTCAGATATCTTCGGTTAAGGGGCAGTTTGATGAGGTCAAATTTAGTTAAGAAGCTGCTTTTTTGAACTGCAGGTACGAAGAAGCTGTTACATTCCAAACAAGGCCGTACAAGAAATCCGAAGCAAAAGGGTCTTTTGTGAACAAAAAAAACACCAGGGTCTCTTTCAAAAATCCATTACCTTTAAGCGCGAGTCATCATAAAACTATAATACTAGTCATAAAATTTTATACTGCGTGCAAGGGCAATCCACGTATGACAAAATTAATTAAAGGTAGTTTTGCTGGATAATCCAAAAAGAATGTCTCTAGCAGATTTGTAATTTTTTTTTTACATTATATTATAAATTATACAATAAAAAATAACATATATTTCTCTTAATCTCCCTCCCACCCATGTTTTAATGTTCAAACTTAAGAAATCCGATTTAATCTTAAATTTTTAATTATTTGAAACACTTTTTGAGATTATAGATTTGCAATTCAATATTATAACTAAGAAATTTATTACTGTCCACCAGGATTATCTCAATTTTAATGGTTAAGAGTTTTTTTTTTTTTTTGTTAAAAGTGTTGACTTTGATATGTGAAACAAAAATAATATAATCACATTGACATGTAATCTTATAAATTTACAATTAAAACATCTCACTATATAATTGATTATTTTTATTTAGAGGTCATGCATAATATTATATATATTAATTTAATAATATATTATAATTATAAACTTTTAATGTTACAT